AGCTTTGAATTTGTGGGGTTAATTCATTTAAATGAACAGAATAAATTCATTTAAATGCTTGAATTGTTACAAATGTTTAAACATTTGACTCACAATTATTCTGATACTATTAAAGTGAATTAATAAGAGAAAATCATTAGATTTTTTTGCTGAATTTAAAGGGTTTCTTCATGATATAAATAGTGGCTCATTGTTCAATTTTAAGTATCCCAATTTCTTCATAAGTTTTGCCTTAGCCGTTTCTTTTTCTTCCTTAGTGTTCATCAAATATTTTCTAAATTCCATTTTGCCGGTGAAGCTACTTAGTTCCCACTTCTCTATATACCTCTTTTCATTAGAGGTACTATTATCCATAAGAGGAGTGGGACAATCAATCCGAACTGTAAGGTCAAGATCCATGCAACCAAGAACTATCTAGATAGTTTCCTTCCAGCTCTTAAAGTTTGCACCATTCAAAACCGGAATGGAGTTTACATTAGCAGAAATAATCGTAGCGGAATCAACTGTACAGAAATAGAAAATAACCAAATATAAGCTCACACATAAAAAAACCAAATTTTAACATGATTAAAAAATTCAAAGATTGGTTATTCCCGATTTGCAAGATACTTAGCACAACAATGAGTTTAGTTTTTGGACAGAAACATCAATTTGCAAGTTGGTACTCTTGTTGCAGTAATCAAACATTGACAATAAAGTTTTGTTAAATAAAAAGCCTTTCTTAGGACCAACTTATTATTCACAAAATAACCAGATAATTGTCACACGTTTACTACCACAAATATGTTTTGTTTTTGGCCAAATAATAATTTTCCTTTGGGCCAGTCATTATCGGCATGAAAACAAAACGCACACTGTCACCTTGGTATTTCAAATTAATTAATCAATGCAAAAGTGATATTTTGGTGATGTATTACACTATCCAATCAACACAAAAGTACTAGATGTTCAAAATAGATTCTTTATGCCACAAAATTAAATAAATAATCACGTTTAAAAGGACTGAAAAATTTCTTATTGAACCGAAAACAAGTGAAATGCATTATAAATAGGATTATGACTTTTCCAAAACAGTTCGGCTACATCAAACAAATCCAAAATGCAGTAAGCAGTAGCAAAAAAATTTCACTTCTGAATCCAATTTGCTATGCAATTGTTTTCGGTCAACTTGACTGTAAAACGGTCACAGTTCCACATATTTAAGAATCTGGCATTCACACATTGCATCTTTTATTGACAATGTATTTAGACATGAATAATCAATCACGAGCAATAATTAATCTATATAGTATTAGCTAAAAAAAAAACAAATGCAATCAATTGCCAAACTTAATCTGCCCAGGAAAACATTTTACCAAATAGATGAAACCCACAACATGATAAATAAAATATCACATAGATAGGACTATCTAAATTGATGAATCTAGGATATGACCAAACCAAAACGGGAAATTCATTCAAAAAACCATAGCCAGCCGAAGCAAGAAAATCAAATCCAAACGAAAAAGCAGATTGGAGCCAAAACCGTGGCTAAAATGTGAATTCCATCACCATACTGAAAGTTGAATAAAAAAAAAAAAAAGGAAAACATGGATTTGGAAAAAATGATCAAAACCAAAAAACCAAACTGGACTTTGTACACATTGAAATCCATGGTCAAAAAAAAAAAACAAAACCCACAGTTGACCAATTTGGTTCATTAGGAAAACTCAATTCGAAAAAACTTAATTAACCAAACGAACTGGGATTACATCACAAAAATTTGCTTCAACCGAAAATCAAAACACTTCCTCCGAATCCCAAAAAAAAAAATTAAAAAAATTGATTCATGGAAGACGGACAACTTGGATATGATGGTCATCAAGTTTATACTAATAAAAAAATATTGATCTGTATACCTTGGCCCAAACAGGAACGGCCAACGATTAATTATATTTCACAAATTAATAAAATCAGGAACCCATATCGATGGCCAAAACTGAAACCCAAAACTGTAACAGTTGTAACCAAATATGGCCAGTCAAATTTGATTTCATGATCGAAAAACACAAAATAATTTCAACCGAAGTACTTGGATCCTTATTTCCCAAAAATTTGACTCGGAGGTGGCTCTGATACCATTTGAAGGATTAAATCCTTTAGCCTGACACTACAGATCAAATAATGAGAATTAAATTAATACAGAAACGTATCTGAATCCATTGCGGATAAACAATCTCTTCATGTTTGGTTTAATATCCCAGATGATTTCTTTTCCGTACAAAGAACGTTAGTTCTGTCAAATGGGGAGGTAGTTTTAACGGCATAAAGAATCACCCAGAGACCGTAACCGATTTATATAATTGTTAGGTTTCTTTTCTACCCATCACAGAAAAGAACCTTGATCTTTAGGTTTCTATACAATGCTACCCACAATTTTAACTTAATTAATAATTAGTCCAAAACTTTAGTTAACATAATTTAAATCACTTTGGTTGGACTGTATTTTATGATAGGATATATTTAATGTATAAGTCCAAAATAATCTTACATAGTGGTCCTAGTGTTTTGTAAAATTTTGTATGATCCTGCAATTTTGAATGAATGGTTCTATTGCTAATCGTGTGGAACTGTGGATCATCATTGGGGACCAAAAGTGCAAAATTTAAGAGATGTAAGGTGCATGGAACCACCATCACTTGTCAGTAGTGGTCCTATGCTATGATTTCTCATCTAACTAATTAGGGCTTACTTTTTGTTGCTTTTTGAATCCGCGCTTAATGTTCTTCCATTAAAAATGTCAGAAAAAGCGATACTTAACTAGTTAACTCCACGTGAGGGCTGGAATTTACACTGATATAAAAATCAATTGAATCAACTACCGTGGTTCATCTTTGTCTGATTTTGGGAGTTTTGGTTCAGATTTGGAGAACGATTTCGACTACCGTGGAGCCGAACCATATCTTTAGAGGTAATATTTCTGTCGCTTTTAATTCTCTTTTCTTCTTTTTAGATTAGAAGTAGGCTTGATCGATGTCATCTAACCTACTTCTCCTTATCTTTATCATAAGATATTTTGATTTGTTCTAAATTTTGCATAGTATATTTTTTTATTTAATTTTTTTTATAAAAAAAATACATTTTCACAATCATTGCATTTTCCTAATTATCAAAAAATATTTTAAAGTTTTTTTCCAATTAGAAAAATAATATATACATAGTTAATTAAATAAATGCAAAGTTTGGGCAATTTTGACATGTATTATCGTGTCGCAGCCTAGTAAATCCTCGGATTTGGTAATTGTTTATCGGATGTAATTAAATAAGTAAGAACAAAAGAATCTTTATGCTGTCAACTTTATATAATTTTCAGTACGATCGATATGCTCCAAAGTCCAAATATTATCTACTGCAGTTAATTGCATGATGTCCCTTATCTTCCACTAATTTGCTCCCTAAAACACCCCTTAAATTAAATGTATGTTTCTTTTTTTTTTTTGGGTGCAAAAATAAGTACTCCCTCCATTCTAAAATAAGTGTCATCTTATAATTTGTACATAGTTTAAGTAACTCTTAAATAAGATTATAAAATTATTTGAATATATACTCAGCTAATCCCAATAAAAAATATCCACCTATAACATTAATTTTTTTGAGGGTAATTTTAAAAATTTTAGACAAAAAGTGCATTGAAATGTGAGAACGACACTTATTTTGAAATTTCAACGGAGGGAGTATGTTTCTTTTAATGAAATAAATTGGTTCAGTTGCCGATGTGATTCCTGATTTAACGAAAAAGGAAGCACTGAATTTTTCTTTTTCTAGGGAAAAAAGGAAGACGCAACATTCAAATTAATAATAGATGGATGGCATCGATGGTCCATTACCGAGTGAGGGCCTAAACTAACACGCTAGTATTTCTCCACTGAAGAATTTTCATTTGAAAATAAATGTTCAGTATCTAACTAGGAAGTTAATGATGATCAACCTTTTTTTTGAGGCCATTTTGACCATGGAAAATGAACAGCTGCCAAAGTTCGCATTGTTAATCCCAAAGCCTCGAACGAGACAAAACGAAATCAGAAAAGGTACAAATACTAAAGAACGACATTGCGCGTCCCTTCGAACGGCAAAAATAGCATCTATTCATTCGGCCGAAATTGGAGAAGCATTCGCATGCTTATATACTAGTAGTAGGTATTTCAACGTATACTAGTACCATTATTTTCTTTTCCAATATAATAACTACATAATTCAATTCCCATCTTCCCTTGATATACCTATATAAAGCTAGATACGACCATAGGCTCATACCTCTATTATTCTTTCTTTTTTTTTCCTTTCCCAATCATTTCATTTAATTAGTGTCTTTGAAATATGGAATTCAATTGTCAAGATTTCAAGGTGGGAAAATGCGAGGGAGAGAAACTAGTCGATGGTGAGACTATGCCACTGGTGTTGCTAGCTAGAGAAGCAACCAGGAATGGTGTTGAATCCTTGCTTGAAAGTTTGAAGAAAAACAAGGAATGGTTTGCAGCCATGATCATGAAAAATAGTGCAGTTTTGCTCCGAGGTTTTGATGTGAAGAATGCTGAGGAATTCAATGAAGTCGTGGAGCTTTTCGGATGGGAAGATATGAGGTATGTTGGACCTGCTCCAAGAACACATATTTACAAGAGAATTTGGACAGCCAACGAAGGACCCTTGTCGGAATTCATATATTATCATCATGAGATGGTTCTGGTAAGATTTCAACTTCCATTAATTCTTTCTTTGGTTTCATAATTTCCTGTTTTTGAAGCCTTTTTCTTTCTTTCCTTTTTTCCTTGTTGCTGTCTGCTCCATAAAAAAAATACTCCCTCCGTTCCATAATTATTGTCCAGTTTTACTAAAAATGAAATATTTTATTTTTAGTCAAACTTAATTATATTTTACCTTGAACAACCGGATATACCCCTACATAAGTAATTGTTTAACCACAAAGATTTTAATGGATAATGTTTTTTACTAAGGACAAATGTGTAATTTGATCCATAAAAAGTCAAGTTGGACAATACTTTTGGGACAAAATTTTTTGGCCAAAATGGACAATAATTATGAGACGGAGGGAGTAGTTAATTTTAGTACGATGTGGTAGAATAGGCAGTAATTACTTATTGCCGTTATTAATTAAGTTCTTCCAACTACTTAACCAACTATACTGAATTACTTAGCAATGGCAAGGGTATCATAAAATTATGATTATATCCCTTTTCCGACTAAATGCATATATAAAATAAAAGGCAAAAGATTGATGATGTAACATTTTCATGTGTCTTTGGTATTAACTTCTTGTCGGAATGCAAATTAAATGAATAGTCGCGAGATATATATATTGGCATCATTTGATCATCGCCGCCTGAAGAAAAGTCAATGTGTACATATAAAAGAGCGGTCAAAATTTTAGTGAGCCACTGGTCAAAGAGATATTATGATATAATATATCTAGATAATTTAAGATTATTCGGTCATTATCCTAGGGAAGTTTCACATGTCGGTATTGTAATTTCAATCACAAATGTTGAAATCTCTTGAATTCTTTGAATAAAGCCAAGAGTGAAATGATCACACCACTACTAATTAAATGAATAATTTATTATTATTATTATTATTATTATTATTATTATTATTATTATTATTATTATTATTATTATTCCACCAGATTAAAGAAAGCCCGGATAAGGTAATTTTGTTCTGTGACGTTCCACCACCCGAAGGCGGAGAAACACCGTTTGTGCCAAGTTTCCGGGTGACAGAAAGAATGGTGGAAGAATTCCCAGAAATGGTAGAGGAAATGGAGAGGAAAGGTCTGAAATACACATTCAATGCTCCGAGTAAAAATGATACATCTTCCATGAGGGGTAGAGGTTGGGAAGATGCTTTTGGAACATCAGATCGTGTTGAAGCCGAAAGAAGGTATACGATCAACCAAACCAAAAATTAATAATTTCTTGCCTTTTTTTCGTGATTTTTACATAATATTTTTTAAATTTAATTATTTTATCGATAAATTTAGCATCCTAATGGAAATGTCGTGTTGTTTTTGGCATAAACTAAGTGAAAATTTATTCTCTTCACCTCATTTAATCAATACCATCCGCTCTCTATCAGAATATTATATGTAATGATTGTGTAGGGGTAATCTTCTGGGGATGGATTTTGAATGGCTTCCAAACGGAGGGTTGAAGACAATATTAGGTCCAAGACCTCTGACTAGGGTTTTCGAGGGAAGAAAAGGAAGACGGATGTGGTTCAACACGATAGTTGGAATGCATGGAAAAGAAGATAGCTCCGCAAAAATGGCCGATGGGACTGAGATTCCAGAAAATGTGGTGAAGAGATGCGAAGAGATCATAGAAGAAGAAAGCATTCAGTTCAAGTGGGAAAAAGGAGATGTACTTTTCTTGGATAACTTGGCTTTGCTTCATGGAAGGAGGCCTTCTCTTCCACCTAGAAAAATCCTAGTTACCATTTGCAAGTAGCTTATTTAGTTAGTTTTTGTATTTCTGGTTCACATGAATGAAAAGATTCATTAATCTAAGGACCTAAGATCCTTGAATTAATCGACACTAAAATATTTGCACGAGGTGCAGTCGTCCGTAACTCCGTATTGCAACCAAAAGAAAGAGTGAAAGACACCATTGCTTGTGCAATGCGTCTGTTTTATGAAACCCTAATTTATGAAGAGATTATAGAAGTTGAAATTGTATTATAGTAGCTACCACTTGGAGAGAAGAGAGCAACAATTGGAATTGGCTTCCAAGTCTTCAGGAAAACGATTTGATCATCTCAGAATCTAGCAGAACAATCAGATACTCACTTCTATCTCCACCCTTTAGTTTTAAAAGTAAATTCTATGAGCATTTTTAGGATCGAAATTTGGAACTTGTAAAGTTCAGCCTCGTACTTTATCCACTTTTAGTTGTGAATCTCTCCGGTTCATCAGAGCAGATGTAATTTCTTATTAAGTTACGAACTTCTTTTTAAATGTTTTGCTGTATCATATCTAAACTTGCCACACCATCTGATCCCAATCTTTTGTAATTTTGAGCAGACCTGCGCCGAGACCTTCATTTGTCCCAACTTCATTTTTGCTATTAATATTAGTTTGACACTTTGGAAGCCTCTAAATTAGTTCCGAAACATGGAGATTGACTGTTGCAGGTTGTTTGCGGTTATGTATATATGGTTTAGTCCACGGAATTAAACTTCAAAATGTATCATCACAAACGTAACTAGCGAGCCAAATCAAGCTGTTTCATCCCATCCATTTCCAATCATCCTTCAGATTATGATGTTCGCGTTCTGCCATTCTTTTATATCTCACCCTCAAGGAGCTTGTTGCACCCGCCACTTCCAATGTGGTAAACTTAAAAGCAGAGAAGAAAAGTAATACATCAAAACCAAAAAAAGAAAAAGATAATAAAGAACACCAGATGGAGAGATCTTCAGCTACAATCTAACAAGCAAGAAAGAACTAGAAACAGATGCGAGAAAGAAGTTAAATAAGCCAAGAGATGAAGAACATACCCCTAAAAACATCCCCCTTATGAGTAGCTGTATATGCACTAAGGCATATAGCTAATTTGGCCAAGTCTGCAGCTTCAGTTACTGACATTTTGCGTGTAAGACTACAACAAAAAACCAGAAACTAGTTTGTTTCAAAAGCTAGATTGGAAAATTTAGTGCCCAGCACATTATAAATGTGTATAGAGAATGGAGCGCCGCATACCCAATCTGCAGAAAATTAGCAGCACGTGATCCAGATCCAGTGGCTTGTATATCACCTTCAACCGCCAGTTCCCCTTTACCATTCATGCAATATAGCCCGCGCTCCTGCATAAAGACCATACAAATGACCACTTAATTCATTTTGACTCAAATGGAAAGAACAGGAAAGAGCAAGAGATCAGGGTGAAAGGTCTTACTCTAGAATACACAACAAAATTTGAAATTATAAAGCAAAAAAAACTATCGATTCGTTCCACACAGAGATCATTATTCCTATTGATAATTCCTCTTTGTATGCTGAAAGAGCCTCAGCCAGCCACTTCAACGCCTCTGCAACCGAAGTTTTCTTCCCCTCTGTTTGTTCTTGTAGGTAGCACTTCAACACATAACCAAAACAATCATTTTTTAGTTGCCTTTCTTATTGAACAATACAATGGGAGCAAGTATGTACCTTCTTTTGCAGGTCTTGAGCAAAAACTCGCTTCCTCCAGATATGGTGGCAGGCATGTGAGGATTGAGCTCAACAACGTTCTCGGCAGACTCTGATGCTACATTTTGGAAATGAAACTTAGTAATGGAGTACTATAGATGCACAAGGAGGAAAAAAAACACAGATTAACCCGGTTAAAGAACTCACATTCGCTTGAATGATCAGTAGATACCATGATACCTGCTTCAAAAATAAAAGCCAGAGCCGTGGTTCCTGTTTTAGGGGTATGCGGCTTAAAAGGCTTCAAAAGAACAGAGAAAAAGTTATTCAAAAATAAATCTTAAAGACCAAACTTCGATACTCCTTTTGTCTCAAAGTTATTGTCTAGTTTAGGTTCTCACTCTTAGTTCAATTTAAGCTAAAAATAAAAATTCTAAATGAACAATTATTTTGGGACGGAGGGAGCAGAAGGCAAGAAGAAAAAAACTTACATCTGCAGGGCGTGATGTAGACATCTGTGCAGGTAGTGTTGCATGAGCAGGAAGTGGTGGTTGAGCAGGTCATCTTAAACTCTACAATCCGAGCATAACCAAAATTTAGAATTGATACTGCCCTACTAAATCTCTTATGACTAACTGGTAAGCAGAAAATGATGATAAGGATGAAAACTTAAAACAAAAAGAGAAAGAATAGTTTTATTTAAATAAAAAGTAACTATAAAAGGAAATGCGAAACTTCATTTCTTTGCTTCTTTTTTTCACCCACCTTGGCACATCCACTGGCAGAATCAATAGACTTTGGTCCATTTCCAATAATCTCGTACTTCACCCTTGAGCCTTGGATGTTTGCCTCTTGCCGTTCTTTTATATCATCCTCAAGGAGCTTGTTGCACCCGCCACATCCTAAGTGGTAGACTTAAAAACAAAGGAGAGAAGCACACATCAAAAAAAAAAAAAAGTAGATGAGAACAGCAGAAACAGATGGACGGGTCTTCAGCTAGAATCTTAACATGCAAAAGAAACAGAAACAAATGGACCTTGAGCGACAGACTAACAAGCAAGAAAGAAAGTAGCTTAGGGATCACAAACATACCGGTACATATATCCCCACTTTCAGGAGCCCTATATGCAGCAATGCATATGGCCCTTTTGGCTGAATCTGCAACTTCAGTTACGGACATATTGGGTTTGAGTCTACAAGGAAAACAGAAACTAGTTTGTTTCAAAAAGTTGATTGGAAAACTAGCCAAGCACAATATAAACAAACTATGCAGGAGCGCCTATAGTAGAATGAAGCATACATAGTCTTCACGACAAGAGCAGCCCTTGAACCAGATCCAGTGGAAAGCATATTCTTTGAAACCAATTCCCCTTCACCGTTCATGGGATACAGGCCACGCTCCTGCACACATACCAAAGAAACGACCACTCATTTATTTTAATGGAAGAACAGGAAAGAAGATTAGGATGAAAGGTTCCACTTTAGAATATAAAATAAAATTTGAGATTATAAATCAAAGAACTACCGATTCGTTCCACACGGCTATCAGTATCCCTATTGACAGATATTCCTCTTTGCATGCCGAAAGAGTCTCACCCAGCCACTTCAATGCCTCTGCAACCGAAGTTTTCCTCCCCTCCGTTTGGTCTTGTTGGTTGAACTTCAGCACATACCAACCATTCCTTTTTTTAGTTCTCAATGTAACAATACAAAGGAAAAGCAGTGTCTCAATGTAAACTAGCAAGTACCTTCTCTTGCAGCTCTTGAAGAAGAAACTCATTTCCTCCACATATAGAGGCAAGCATGTGAGAATTGAGTTCAACAATGTTCTTCGAATACTTTGATGCTAAATTTAATAATGAAAATTAGTAATAGAATGCTATGTTCATGAAGAACCAACATAGATATATACATGTGGTAAACATGGTAAACGCAACTCACATTGGCTGGAATGATCTGCAGCTAAAATGATTCCTTCTTCAAAAACAAAAGCAAGAGTTGTGGTTCCCTTTTCGAATTTGGGTTGGTGCCGCGGAAAAGACTACCAAAAGAACAGATGACGATAATAATTCGAAAATTGTCCTGAAAGCGCATAAAGATCAAACTTTAATAAGGGTAACAAGGAAAAAACTTACCCCATCTTGGTTTAGACGAATTACATAACGCGTTAGAGGCTGAATTGGGGGAAGGTTAGTGCGAGATGTAGCCACCGGTGCATGGGTGGGAGCAGCGGTGCGGCGATCGCTTCTTTTCCTCTAAAAAATCCCAGCAAGACCAACTAAAAATTTAAACTTGATACTGATTATGGCCCAACTATTATATGCCTATACAGCTGATAATATTTCTAAATTTCTAATGTTCATTCTCTCAAAAAAAAATAAATAAATAAAAAACTTGAGTTTTGAGAATGCTTTTTTTGCAAAGAGAGAGTAACTAGTGAGACAAAATAAAACTTCCCGACATGAATCTACCTTTTAACCAAGGAAACAGAACAACAAAACGAACCCTAATTCCAACACGGACAGACAATGTGAAGGGACAAATATTATTACCTTAGTGCGGGAATCAGAAACATCCATCTTTCTTTTCGACTTTTTCCCCCTTAAATTCAAGCAAAACCAACAAATTAAACGATCAACTCTAAATGAACAAATTCGTAATAATTTGCGGACGTTACTTTTTTGGCTAAAAATAAAAAATAAAAAAAATAGGTTAGATGGCATCGATCAAACCTACTTCGAAGAAGAAGAAAAGAGAATCGAAAGCGACAGAAATGTTACCTTTAAAGATATGGTTCGGCTCCACGGAAGACGAAATCGTTCTCACTTCAAATCTGAAGCAAAACTCTCAAAATCAGACAAAGATGAACAATGTTGATTCAATTGATTGTAGGAAGAAAAAATCGAGTTAAATATCGCTTTGGATGACATTTTTGTAGGAAGAAAATTGAGCGCCGAAACAAAAAGCAACAAAGAGTAAGCCCGAATTAATTAGATCAGAAATTATATCATACTAGGCTTGTCGTGCGTTGCGCGATAAGTTTGTATTATATAATTATTATACTGTGTTCGTAACCAAAAAGTAATGCTACAGAGAAAGTATAAATATAGTTTGTTTTTTATCTTTGATTTTACTTTGTATTCTATTCGTTTCTTTAGTCGATAAGACTATTTGTATTCACCAAATCGGGAAGAAGTAAAAGGTAGTACTCGAGCTTTATAAATTTTTGTATTAGGAGCTCATAAATTAGGATCGGTTGCTACAAAAGAATCAAAGTAGTAGCCTTAGGAAGCGAAGAAGCCTTGTCTTCTCGGGTAAAGTGAGCTTAGAATGAACCACTTTCCCATTGTTTTGGGCTTGTCTTGACAGTAATGGCGGCATTACTTTAAATGCAGTAGTGCAAAGAATAACAATAATAGAACTATTTGTATAAAGGCTAAATTTTAAGCCCGCACAAGATTATCAAAGAATCACTTGTCAACACTACCATCAGACCAGGTTTGTGGGAAAAGGTTTGACATATGGAAACATTGGTGCAAAAAATAGAAATGGAGACCAGAAACTAATGCCTAATTAGCAGTAAAAATAAAAGTATAGGGATGTACGCCAAAAAAATTCCAAACCTATTAGTTGATCATGACTTTACTGAGAAAGAGTCAAGTAGTTGCATAAGATCAAACTCAATGAAATTATTTTTCGCCATACTATTTGTTGAGCAAATCTTAAGAATCAACTAAGTGCGTGTGAAGCATAGTTCATAGTTGTTTGGCGAGCAGCTGAAGAATATGTACCGATGAAAGTTGTTCCAAATAGATGAAGAAATTATGTAGTAAATGATAAAAAGAAAATTAAGGATAAACAATAGAAACGTTTATGCGCAAAGTTATAGAAGAGTGTTTCCTTCTCTGAAAGGTCTTCTACAATAATATAATAAATTCCTGTTTTTGACATTTAGTGGGTAAAGAAGCTCGAAATACTTATCTTTTTTCTCACTATTGATAACCAAATGACTATTGGCATAGATTGCAAGAAGCATAGTAAGACAGAGAAGCAAAAGCCACCAGAAAGTCTTACAAAACAAAGTTTTTTTTAGATGGTACAGAGACAGTGATTATCTTTTCCTAATGTACCTACCCCTTTCAATTGCAAATTCTTCGCTAGTTTTATCTATATCTGGTACAATCAGTGAAGTTCCTAAACCTGAAAAACAACAAAAGGCAATGAGCTTTACATATGAAGTAATGAAGTATGCTCTATTCTTAGTCAATACAAAGCAGAAACGGGTAACTTCTCCCCAAAGCATTCCCAATCATCAGGTACTAATATTAAGACGAGTAGCCAAGTGTCCAGCATTTTATTTACCTGGTAAAACAAAATTTACCACAAATAAACTATCATAATTAGGACATCAAGTTAGTGACTCATTAATGCATGTAGCAAATTCGTATGCTATCATTTTTTTCCCCTTACACCAAAAGCCTTATCATGCTACTAAAGTAGCTCATCATTATATTCCAAATTTTCAAATAATCCATCATACATATCAAATAGAGCCTAGGCGTATTAATTAGAGAAAATATTCAAATCTAGACATGGAGGTAATTTCTCTAGGCTAATCAACTTTTTTGAACCATAGACATATAAAGAGATGGTATTTTAGTTCTTTATTATAAAACAGTCAAATATTAGAAACATAAAGTCAGAAAAAGAGTACATTACAATATCACAAGTATATAAAGTCAGTAAAAGAAGTACAAGTTTTGGTGCAGATATCTAGTGGAGTGAGGATTTATGACAAATTTTGGTCCCAATTTGATGCAATGTTGTTGCGATCGTATACTAAACTACATTTGATTAGTCTTCCACGTGATTCACTTTGTTGACAGTAAAGGAACCTCTGTAACCCAATTAATTTTAAAGTGATTGATAATGTATTCTCATATAGATCACATTTAGGAACAACAACAAAGAATGTCTACCAGTTCAATAAACCAAAATTTTGTGTGTTCAAACCTAAGGCATAAAAAAGCCTCCCTTCCACTTCAATTTTCACTTTGCAATTAAATAGGTTCAAAACAAACCAGGTTTGGTGGAGACAGTATACAACACACCAATGCAAACATGATCATATCCCCAAAAATAGTAAGTCTAAGAACTTTTACCAGGGTTGAAAGGTCTGCACCTTTGTCCAACTAACATAAGATAAATTGACATGAAACCAATTGATCAGCAAATATTCCATATTCCATGTACATTTAAAATTGGTTTGAAACACGAAAGAAGAACAAACATTCGGCCAATTCAATAGGATTCAAAAAAAGAAATTTTAAAAAGGAACTATCTTGCAAAGGTCCTTATAACATGGTCAGGTTCCACAATTCTGTTGACAATATCTCTCTATTTCTCACTCTCCTTATAATTCTTCATATTCTGAAAGAGTTCAATTCGATGACTAACCGAAAACAACTTAAAACAAACACAATTACATGAAATTCTGCTAGATTAAATAGAATTCAGCAACTCAAACATTCTCGTAAAATCCTACCTTTCCATCCAAAATCATAACTATATGTGAATATTGTGATCAAAACTTCAAATTCATTTTAATACAAAAGATATGAAAGGGAAAAATAAAATCAGTATTACCTATGGTAGGAGAGAGATCTTTGAAGGTATCTAGAGTAAAGCTGAGCAAAGGACTACTTTTTTCTACTCCAGAATCCCCAATCAACAATAACTTGATCAAATAATCAAATTCTTACGAGGAGGATGACGAAGACGATACCATCTCCACGAAGTTTAATTGGAACATCCATGAAAAAACCAACAGATTAGGCAACCTGAAAAATAAGAAAAGATTAGGACCAAGTGAAATTCAGTGAGTATAGACAAGATTAGATATTATTCAAGATTTCATGATGCAGTAACTATTTCCCTATTGAATGGCAAAAGCAGAATCAAAACAAATCATAATAAAAAGAGAACTACACCAAAACAAACCTTTTAGAGAATAAAACAATTCAGGAACTGCGGACAGCCCCAGCAAAAAAGTCCTTCTGATTGTCCTTGGCATTTGTTGTGGTTTGGTGTCCTCTTTTTGCGCGGTGAGCTCTCAACAGAAACAAATAGCGGAAATTATGCAATTCTAGTTTTTACCCTATTAGAAAGTTCTGCAATGTAAACACCAACAAAAATCAACAAAAAAAAAAGAAGAACAAAAGATTAGGAGTAGACTCTAAGGAAAAAGAAGCAGCAGCAATAGTACAGAAAGACCGAACTTTTTTTTTTCCGGTGAGTGAGTTGGTGGCACAATCCACGGTAGTGGGGAGCGAAGAGGAAAAAACCCTCTGGAAAATCCGGTGAGCGACTCTTCGCAGCAGTAGAATTAGAGCCCAAATAGAAAGAAAAAGAAAAAGTAGAAAAAGTAGTGTATATAGAACAATGTTCAAATCTTGTCTAGCACCACGATCTATGATCGATCAAGATTAGAGCCCCTTCCTCTTCTCGTTACTGCTCTTTATCTTTGTCCCCAACAGTCTCACCGGTGAAGGTTGCAAAATCAAATCTGTGGACTCAATCGACAAACGTTTCGACGATAAACTTCAACAACTCTGCACGGAGGTTATGGTGATTAGCGGCGGCAATTCGATTTTGAAGATGGTTTTTAGCGGCAGTTTGATATTTAGCCGCAGCTATAGTTTTAGTCGCAGCAGAGGAAAAAAGGAAAGATGAAGCGCAAGTATAATCTGTGGTCATTTTGTTTCGGGGATTCAACAAAATTTCTTTTTAAAAAGAAAACATTGATACAAAAACGTCGCCGTTTTCACTGCTGGGAATAAAATAAGGGTATAAAACGACGTTTTTTTATATCTGGGGATTTTTTTTATCAAAATTCAGATTTTTTCTCATTTATTAATTTGAAATTGAATTTATGCATTCTCCTTTTTGCCCCCAATAAGTTGCTGACGTCATATCAAGACCATCCGACGTACGAGATCAATTTGAAGGTTACTAAAAATTCATATTTTTTCTCATTCATTAATTTGAAATTGAATTTATGCATTCTTCTTTTTGCCCCCAATAAGTCGCTGACGTCATATCAAGACCATCCGATGTACGAGATCAATTTGAAGGTGGCCCTGAATATTTCTTGGGCATTTAATTTCTTGCTTACTGTGCTTTATATTAAGTATAAGGAGGACCACTAATAACAAGTAATGGTGGTTTCATGCCCTTACATCTCTTAAAATTTGCTCTTTTGGTCCCCAATGATGATCCACACCACACGATTAGCAACAGAACCATTAATTCATTCAAAATTCCACGATCATACAAAATTTAACAGAACAGTAGAAAACTAGGACCACCAAGTTTGCTTATCAAGATCATCAAAAATGGGGGAAAAAAATTATCTTTATATTCTTATAAGAGAACTGGTTCCAATTATATTTCAATATTTTGATTGGGTGAGAGACTCTTGATGATCAGCAATTTTAAACGGGGTAAAATAGTCATAGACAAAAAAATTATGTCAAATAAAAGTTGGATCATCAAAATTATTGACCAGGATCATCACGAA